TACCACATTCTTATCAATAAGGTTGCTTATGTTTGTGAGTAATTGTTTTATATATCTGGGGGCTCCGGTATTCGGCGCATAGACATTTATAATTGTTAGCTGTTTCAGCTGGAGTAGCCATACTTATATCAGACAAACTAGACTTTAAATTAAAGGCTGTAACAAGAGATGAAGAAGGGCGTTATATAATAACCAAATTTAATTTTTGATGTTAAAAGTAACTGTTAGTACTTTTATACACTTTGAGGAATATACATTTGCTCTGCCTGTTTTGGGAGTTACTTAAAACTCCTCAGTATAGCAGTTCCATTATAGGAATTATATATCATAGATTATATATCATAGATGTATTTGCTCAGTGTATGCACAAGGGTGTTCACTGAAGCTTCATTTATAATAAGTAAAAACTGAAAGTCAACCAGAATTCATCAATAAATAATGGTTTACTAAATAATATAACCATAAAATGGTATACTGTGCAGATGTTGAAGATTGAAATATGTATGTATAAGTTCTTAAGACAGTATGTTTTGGGGGGCGTCTGGGTGGCTTAGTTGGTTAAACATCTGACTCCTGATTTCAGCTCAGGTCATTATCTCATGGTTTTTGAGTTCCAGCCTTGTTTGGGCTCTGCCCTGACAGCACTCCTGCCCTCGCTGCCCCCTCTCTCAAAATAAATAAAAAAAAAAACAAAACTGTGTTTTCTTATGAGATAGTTATTTGATTTGATTTGGTAAAAGAGATAAATGGTGTCGAGTATACATGATTTTGTACTATGAAAAATTTTTTTAGAGTTAGAAATATTTAAATGTCATATAAAAGTTAAAATGCGGGGCGCCTGGGTGGCGCAGTCGGTTAAGCGTCCGACTTCAGCCAGGTCACGATCTCGCAGTCTGTGAGTTCGAGCCCCGCGTCAGGCTCTGGGCTGATGGCTCAGAGCCTGGAGCCTGTTTCCGATTCTGTGTCTCCCCCTCTCTCTGACCCTCCCCCGTTCATGCTCTGTCTCTCTCTGTCCCAAAAATAAATAAACATTGAAAAAAAAAATTTAAAAAAAAAATAAAAGTTAAAATGCTTTCCTGACCAGGAAAATAATAAAGCTTGTTTTATTTCTCTGAAAAGTCCTCAGTGATCATTAGTACTCTCAGAGCATTCAAAGAGACAATTCCTTTGAGCTGCCTCTGTTTTACCCTCTTGATTCTTAGATTCTTCCTTATAGAGAGAGGTTACTAATGGCTAGTTAAACCATATTTACAAATGCTCAAATCTTGTCTGGACAAGGATATTCAGGACAAAATTAGCTTACATGTAAAAATGTATCTTGTTAGATTTTTAAATCTAGTGCAGTCCTTATTCTTTTTTTCTGACAATACCTGAAAGTGGCACAATAGTTAACTATTGTCTAAAAACCATAGGGTATTATATGGAAAAGAGTTAACGCAACAGTCCTGACTGTTGTTCTTTGAATGTCCTGCTTACAAGGTTGTTCTTTGTCTAGTATTTGGGAAATTGGATTTGGGGAGGGTTCTCACCACCCTGAGTAGTGTAAGAATGGCTCACTGTGCCTGAATTGTTTGTACAACAATGTAGGGTTTTTGTTTTTTTTTTTAATGTTTATTTTTGAGAGAGACAAAGCGCAAACAGGGTAGGGGCAGAGAGAGGGAGACACAGAATCTGAGGCAGGCTCCAGTCTCTGAGCTGTCAGCATGGAGCCCCACACCGGGCTTGAACTCATGAGCCATGAGATCATGAGTTCTCATGAACTGAGCCACCCAGCCAACAGAGCCACCCAGACGCCCCAACAATGTAGTTTCAATACCTTCTTTTCTTTTGAGAGTCTGAAATTTCTGCCTGGTATTTGCGAGGCAGAAAGTGGCTACATTATCAGCCCCTAATAAAAACCGTGAGTACTGAGTCTCTAATGAGCTTCTCTGGTAGGCAGTGTTTCCAAGGTGTTGTTACAACTTGGGGCTAGGGAAATTAGTCCTGTGTGACACCACTGGGAGCAGACTCTTGGAAGCTTATGTCTGGTTATCTTTGGATTTTGCCCCATACACCTTTTTCCTTTGCTGATGTTACTTTCTGTCCTTTGTAATAAATCATAATTGTGAGTATGACTATATTCTGAGTCCTACTGAATCATACAACCTGGGAATGGTAGTGGGGATACCCCAATACAGATGGACTTTTAGTTCATTTTACAAAATAGATTCCTTTGCTGAGGAGTATAGGAATTAGGAAAGGGACAGAACAGCTGAAACAAAAACTAATAATATATAACAGTATCAGCTGCATTTTGAGTATTAAGGAAACCTAATTGTTAAGGTTAACCTAATTGTTAACCTAATTGTTAAACCTAAAATTGTTAAGGATTTTATTTATCAAAATTGTCTTGTTTGTGTGAAGGGACTTTAAAGATGTCTGTCCATTTTTAGAACTTATTTTCTTTGAAAACAAGCAATGAAAATAAAGATGTGCACAGCCTTTTATCTTGACTAATTGTCCGTATGGATTTTTTTAAATTAGGTGGTTACAAAGGTTTAAATGAAGAAGTAATAACAGGCTCTGGAAAAAGTAAGTTTTACTTTATATAAAGTATTTGATTTTTATGGTCAAAGTTCTTTTACCCTTCAATTAAAAAATAACCATTTAGGCGCCTGGGTGGCGCAGTCGGTTAAGCGTCCGACTTCAGCCAGGTCACGATCTCGCGGTCCGTGAGTTCGAGCCCCGCTTCAGGCCCTGGGCTGATGGCTCAGGGCCTGGAGCCTGTTTCTGATTCTGTGTCTCCCTCTCTCTCTGCCCCTCGCCCGTTCATGCTCTGTCTCTCTCTGTCCCAAAAATAAATAAACGTTGAAAAAAAAAAAAAAGAAAAAAATTAAAAAAAAAAAAAATAACCATTTGTATCTTGTTTTGGTGTGATTGCCTTTAAGATTCTTGGAAGTCAGAAGCTGAAGGAGGAGAAAGTGGTGATACTCAAGGTATACTAATTTTTGTGTGATCCCATGAATTTCTATTGTATTTTAATAAAAATGAAAAATACTTAAAAGCAGAGTTGACTTTTTTTTATTTGAAGTGAAAAGTTGAATGGTAAACATTGGGAAGTTCTACAGCATTTAAAATTTGATATTCAGTTCTTGTTTTCCCTCTTACTTTTCTTCTGGTCCTTGTGATGTAAGCTCTTTCTTTTATTTGAATTCTAAGGACCAAAGGTGACCTACATACCACCTCCGCCACCTGAAGATGAGGATTCCATCTTTGCACATTATCAGACAGGCATAAACTTTGACAAATATGATACTATTCTTGTAGAAGTATCTGGACATGATGCACCACCAGCAATTCTGGTCAGTGTGATAATTATATCTTTATTGACTGTGTAGCAAACTTTGTTTTTAAAATAGTTGGTACATTTCCATAGGTTGATACAAAAGAATATAAAAATCTCATTTTTAGCACTTAATGGCTTAGGTTAGAAATTAAGAACCACATCTACCATGTACAGTAGAATTAATAACTATGTTGAAAGAGTATTAAATTTCATCTCCACATTCCCAAACCAGGATGAGAACTTCATTTAAATCTAAAAAGGATATTTTTCTAGAGATTCAAGATGTCTGCTTCCTAAATATTTGAGAAAGTCTGTTTTAGGAGAATGATTTTCTAAGGAGTAGGGGAGCTTACAGTCCCCTGTTGATTAATGAGCCATTATTACTGATCAGAGTATTTGTATTTCACAGGTTTTGAGAGATCAGAGAAACTGTTTTTAGAACTAGTATCTATAGGGAATATTCTTTAATTCTATGAAGTAATAATATATAGGCTCTGTTTATTACTTTTGAGTAGGGGCATCTTGGTAAAGTAAGTTTAGTATATAGAATGGAATTAACCAAAACTTAAGAATAACTCAAATGGGATATGTTTATGGAATGATCTGCGTGTGATATATGGAATTTAATCACTGCCCCCCCCACTCCCCTGCCTTGTTTTTTTTTTTTTTTTTTTTTTTTTTTTAGACTTTTGAGGAAGCTAATCTCTGTCAGACACTGAATAACAACATTGCTAAAGCTGGTTATACTAAGCTTACTCCTGTGCAAAAATACAGTATTCCTATTATACTAGCAGGGCGAGATTTGATGGCATGTGCTCAGACAGGATCTGGAAAGACTGTAAGTCCTTTTCTAACATGTATTCTCCATAATCAAACTATTAATAGTTTTTGAACTTAATTTTTTTTCTTTTTTTTTTTTTTTTTTTTTTTT